ATTTTAAAACTACAATGTCCAAATCGACACTTATTCAATAGATTCCCTACCTTATCCAGTCTCTAGTCAGCAGGAACGAGAGCAGTATACATTCTACTCTCACAGATAAATACAGATAGACCGTAGATTATATGGTAGGGAGTAAGTTAATTACTACGACCGTATAGATATAGTGTTTTCCTCTTTCTTGAGTTATAATAACTCATCATACAGTCTCAAGGCCAGTATAAAAGCCAGTATCTGAGACGGTATTACAGAGGTTAGTTCTCATGGTACGAATATTAGTCGTCTCGGCGCACTCAGTGATGAGGTGTTCTGGCTGGTGTTTTCCCATTTTCCCTACAGAATCTGCATTTGCCGTTGTTTCTTAGTTTCAATCCACTAAGGTATTCATTGAGTGTAGAGAGTGTCCTGTTAAAACCCCGTGACAATCCTAAGATTAGGGGAGACCGGGATTGGAAGTCACATTTTTTTTTCTTTTTGGTTTTTAGTCTGTTCATACTAGTTTTAAAGGACATTAAGACTTTTTGCCTAAAATTACCCATTAAAGAAATTTTAGACGTATTTTATGAAGACTGAAGTGAAGGTCAAAAAGAGGTATTGCTAGAGGGAGCATCTGACGCCGGTCAACAAAATTATTCGTTTACTCGATTTTTTGTTATGGCCGCTGTGACAACCAACCCGTGAGACAACCAACCCCGGTCTCCCCTACTTAAGTCAAGGAAAATATTTGATTTTTCTCGGTGGTAAGTTCTGAGAAATTGTATGTATCTAAAGCCGCGTACTCACTGGCGAACTGCAACTGTAACTGCAACCGTTGCTGTAATCAAATTCTATAGTGTGGACGCGTTGCGAACCAGGTTCGCGAGCCAGCTTCGAACAGCTCGCAGCGAGCCGCCGGTTTTCAGGACGAACACAAAGAGATTCTCGGTTGGTTCGTGGACGTCTATTTGGGACGTTCGCCAGTGTATACGTCCAATAGTCTCGCAACCAACAAAAATATAAGTACGTGGGACGAAGAAAAGGTTTTGGCGCTAATTGAAAAGTACATGGTGGTTGAAATTGGTCTGTTTTAACAGAGAAACCCTATTTCCTGACTAGATAGAGCAAAACCGACATAGATGTCATGGGCTCGATTTCTGAGAAACGTTTAATGGCCTAAACCGCCTGTTCATATTTTCACTGCCAACCGAGATACGGAGTCTTTTTTAATTTTTTACCATTTGGAAAATTGCCCATAACTTTTGACTATTACAAGAGACATTTAAAAGAAGATGCTTGGACAGAAATTGGTTCTTTAATGAGACATTGTGCTCGCGAGCTCTATGCAAACACTGCGACTCGAGAGGTTCGCGAGAAGAGAAACGTGCATACCTTCGCGACGATTCTGTTGCAGCAACGGTTGCAGTTACAGTTGCAGTTCGCCAGTGAGTACGCGGCTTAATACACTCTTCGAGTGTATTAGAGCGTTGTAGCATGTATCCAAGAAGTGGCACATATTCATAACAATGCTGACTGCATTCCAAGGTGCAAATACTTTAACAAAACTAGCAATTCTTTTCTTCGAAACTGTAGATTGATTGTATAATTTTTTTGTAGAGAGATTGTAGAAATTGTAGAAAAAACGAAAGAGTTTATTCCATTCAGATGATTAAAAAAGAAAGGTTTTAAAAATTCTAAGTGGGGAAATAATTGGTAATTCCCCCCCTAGAATTCCAAACCAGTGTAGATTAGTTTTGCCTAGTACTACACATTCTTATAATACGAGACGACACAATCTTCTTTAAAAAAGAGCTTTATTTTACTTTTACATTAAAGTTGCAAATAAAGGACTATAGAACACTAATGAATATATCTAATCTACTTAAAAGTAAATATATGTGTGTTAGAGAACAAGAAGATTCGCATGCACACTAAGCACTATTCGGCACTATGTCAGCAGTTTTCTGTTGTATAATTCACGCACAACAAACAAAATGAATGACAAACTTGTATAAATAGCAATTAAAAGACATTAATATAATACTAGCGTCTAGTTTTCGTGCATTCAAAATTAGGACGTTTTCTGTGAAAAGAATATGGAGCCGAAGTATGCAAGGGCAGTCGACTGCTTTGACAGTTCATAATTTATTATTATTGAGCCATTGTGTACCAACCAACTCTCTTTCTTCAATCCTTCACCCTACGTGAGAGTATGGTAACATCATGTATTGATTCCCCTACTTTCTTGGACCAAATTGTTCGACACTGTGAGGCTTTCCAATGTGAGTGCCATATGTGAGGCTTCGGGCAGGTTCGCTAGGGTCTTGACTTGGTCTACCCACCTCTTAGGTGACCTTCCACCGTGATCAATCAATTCCCCTCCACCATCAGTCTCTCCATTGAGGTGCCACTCCTGGCAATATGACCAAAATAACGCAGGATTGACTGATTTAATTTTGTGACCAGACGTGTCTCAATTTTCTACAGCAACCAACCAACTACAGGGTGAGTTTTTTACGATTTTAGAAAGACGGTCAAGCAGAGAAAGAAGTGCAGCTTTGTTAAGAAAAATATATGGACCTTTAGGATTTGGCTGTTTTAAAAATATTCCCTAATTACAACACTGAAAAAAATATTGTTCATAATATTAATGAACATTGATTATTAACTGTTCTTTCATTGGGACAATGATTTTTTTCATTATATTAATGATTTGTTAATCATAGATCGATGCCTGATTTATTAATATAGTAAATGCCACGAATGTTTGGAAGTGATTCATCGGTCGCTACCATGTGAACTAATCTGTTCAAGGTCACATAAAACTTAATTCCAGTGCCGTGGTGTTTCAAGTCATAGAATAATCAATATATAATCTATTGTAATTTGTTGTTTTAACTGTCAAAGTCTTGTCAAAACATATATTTGGTTATAAATATAAAATGGAATGCCCCATTGGTTGCATTGCAAGCACACCAATGGACTGACGCACAAAAACGAATCAATCAAAGAAACGCGATATAGTATCGTCTTTGTCAATCACGCTAACATTTTAGAATAAGTAGGAGGAGCGCAGGCAGATGATTAGACCGGGCCCTTAAAAACATACGTCTGCGGTAAAAATTTACGTTTTGATGAATCACTCCCAAACATTCGTGGCGTTTACTCTAGTATGAATCTATATAATTTCATCAATATAATGAAAATCTGGTTATTAAATTAATGTAAGATTTTCATTAATATAAAGAACGTGTTTATTGTCCGAGTGAATGCGTTCTTTGTTTTAATGCTGAAACTTTAATGAACACATATTCATTATATTAATGTACTAAATACATTATATTAATGTACGCGGTTATTAATATCAGGAATAAAATATACTTAAATGGTGGCCATCTGGATCGGTTACTTTGGCACTTTAATAACGTCTGTGTGGTTGAGTTATTCAGTGATGCCTTAGTTTCATTAGAGCGGTAAGTGTTCTCTTCAATATTTTAAATATTTTAAATAAAAGTCCTATCGTATTGTAGTTAATTTGTTGTGTTGTCAAATCAAATTCCGCGGTGTGAGTTCTCTGGTGTGGGTATTCATTAAAACAGCGGTTTCCAAATATGTCTCAGAAGATAAAAAACAAAAAGAAGAAAAACATAGTAACAGGTCGAGGCATGGAACTGATTATGGTACATTCGAATGTTCTTTTAATATTTGGCATTTTAATTATTTTTATATACGTCTTTTAGAACCGGAAGAAGATGTTGAGACCTGCCTTGAAGCCCTCAAATTCGACAATTTAACATCGGACCCACTTGATGCGACTTGGAAAGCATGTTGCAAATTCGTCTAGACGTTATCAAGTCTAAGGATACAGCTAATATAATTAAGATTTTGCTAAGATTTTGTATTAATGATAGCGGTTAATTAATACAATGAAATAAATATCATTGTATTAATGATACGATTCATTAACACAATGAAATTATTTCATTGTATTAATGATACGGTTCATTAATATAAGGATTTAGGTACATTATATTAATGAAATCTGTTCATTGTACCAATGAATGTGTTCTTCAAATTAATGAACACTGTTCACTGATTTAATGAACTTAAATTTCATAGAGTTAATGAATTACTGTTCATTGTGCCAATGAAATCGTTCATCAGCTCAAAATTAATGATTTAATTCATTATATTAATGAACTTTTTCATTATATTTATGTCGACTTTTGGTTCAGTGAATGTCGTCTCTATTAGACAAAAAAATCAGATAAAAGTTAAGTCAGAAAAAATTAAAATAAAAGTAATAGTCAAACCATTCATCAAAGTAATTATGCAAACTCAACAAACTATGAAAACAAACTATGCAAAAAATGTCCAAATTGTCACTAAAAATCAGATGTATACCTCGTCTCTTTTTGGAGAGTTGGTATTTTCGGATAGAGCTGATATTTCTCTAAGTTTAATTAAGCACTTGCGATTAGAGACGCAACTCTGTCTCCTTCCTGCAAGTTCCTTATGATCGTTGGTGGAGATGGAGGTAACGGAGAACCGTCTCTCTCAATGCTGTCCTTCATTTGTAAAGACTTCTTAGAATACATTGAAGCAGTCGTATCAGACACATTTGATCCGATAAAATCCTTAGACTGATGCGAAAAATCTGATGTTCTAGATGAACCGCTTGGTTCAGCCTGCTCTTTAGCTTGGTGTACTACAGGTGGAGGTAACTCTGTCAGTGTCAAAGGTAAGCGCTGACGGCTTTCGAATGCTCGAATGCCTAGGTAAAATTAGGCTTATTTATGTTGTGCGTATCATGTGCGTATCAAAGGCTCTAGCTAAAAGGGGGCTGTTATGTGTTGAGTTTATGCCCAGCTAGGTGAGCTGGGACATCAGAGTCATGAGAATTGGTTAGATTTATGGTATCAAGATGGGCGAATGGACGGCTTGTACCGTAATTAGAAAATAACAAAGCGTTTCATAGTTGTGTGAGAAACATACTAAAAGAGTTAAAACAACAAAAATATATTTATAAGAACTTTATTTTTTATACAGACAATAGATTGATATTTAACATATACATCGTAAAAAGAATCATAATAATATGTACAATTTTATACAGTAACTAGTAGTTATCAGAAATAAGTACTTGTGAATAATATTATCACCCCCAACAAAAATATTAGAATTATAAATAATACCACAATTATTACATAGTTTAGTATGTTACGTTTTATCTTATTTGACCCTTACTTATGGATTTAAAAACATAGATCCTGACAATATGCAAGATTCATTATAAATATATATTAAATAATAAAATATTAATTTAGTAAATTTCACAAATATTTTTCAACAATAACAGTAAAAAAATATTAGCTAATCTCATTAAAATACCATTTTTGGCATTTTAAATAACAAAAATATCACAAAAAGTCAGCACTTTAGCTAAAAAGCTTCCACCCTACAATAATAATTTCACACATTTTTGACAATTATTCAAAGAAAATTAATGTTTTCTTTAAATGGTTATATAGTTATAAAAAAGTAATATTTGTAAATTAAATATAACTTAGAAATATCAGTAGATCTTATATTAGACACGGGAATGTAATTAGATCAAAATAATTGATATTCCAAATATAAAAATTAAATCACACCAATTTACTAATTAAAAAAAATGTCTGAATCGTCACTAAAATCATACGTATACCTCTCCTCTTTTTGGAGAGTTGGTATTTTGCGATACAGCTGATATTTTTCTGAGTTTAGGGATTTCCGCGACTGGTTGAGCTCCACTAAGCGAATTCAACGAATTAGGTGCTGAAGCGCTTGGCGTTAGAGACACAACTCTGTCTTCTTCCTCCAAATTACTTATGATCGTTGGAGGAGACGGAGGTAACGGAGAACCGTCAATTCTATCTTTTGCCTCCCTTAATTGTAAAGACTTCTTAGAAGACATAGAAGCAGTCGTATTAGACACATTTGATCCGATAGAATCCTTGGACTGATGCGAAAAATCCGATGTTCCAGAAGAACCGCTTTGTTCAACCTGCTCTTCGTCTTGGTGTACTTCCGGAGTAGGTAACTCTGTCAGCGTCAAAGGTTGTGCAGGGCTGACAGCTTTCGGATGCTCGAATGCCTGGATAAAAGTGGGCTTTTTAATGTTGTGCGTATCAAATGCTCTAGCTAAGAGGGGGCTGTTATGTGCCGAATTTATGCCCAGTTGGGTGAGTTGGGACACGGTCATGGGAACGCTAACTGGGGTGGTGAGCAATGGTCCCAAGGTGGGTGACAGGACGGCTTGTGCTAAAGCTGCGGTTCCGGGTGAATGGGCGTGAAGTGTGTTGTTTACGGAGCCGGTGCCGTCGAGTTCCTGGATGGGTGACAGTACGACCTATAATGCAAATAATAGGTTGGATTATATCAAATAAGTAACATATAAAGCATATTTTAATGACAAGGTGAATTGTTCTTCTAATCTAACACAAAAGTGACAAATGTGCCAATTTAAGTTAATATTTTTTTGAGCTGCCTCCGTTCAGGTTTTGAATGTATAGGAATAAATGTCTGGAGCCTGGAAGTAATGTAACAACTTCAGATAGTTTTAATCCTTCTCTCAATAGTTTAAATTGATATTAGGATTTCCTTCTCTGGAATAATATCTTTTAATTTCTAAAGTTTACGGAAATAATTTTTATGCCCATGCTTTTATGCCCAAGGTATGTTTTTACACTCAATATCTGAACGCCAGAGCTTAACGCTCTTAATAGCAGAGTAGCAAGGTACAGCTTGCTACACTGGATGCCATGCCGTTACAGATAGAGCGTATCGTCCGTCCTGACTGTCTGACTGTCCTGAACAAGTACTACGAGTTTAGATGACTATGTTCACATGGAAGCGCAATATACGTCTGGTAACAACACTAAGCGCCGTAACTTAAAATTTAAAACGTGTGTCAGCATCAATGCCGATAGTAAAAACGAACAATACGTTCCATGTGAAACTGCACACAAGCTTTCGATGTAGTAAGTAGGTAGTGTGGTTTAAACCGCCTATTATTATCTTGACATTCAGATCATTCAGATATATTGACATCAAAATCAATCTCATCTACTCATTTAAGGGTACTCACTTTAGAAAAATCGGCATACGTAATTCCATAAGCAGGAATTCAGAATACAAATTTTGACGAGGAATATGAGATATGTAACACTACACTACCGGTACCACAATGTAAAGAAATCTAGTTACTATATGAATTTTAACCGTAGATTTGATTTTACCAGTTCTAGAATTTAAAAACTTATTTTTAATATTAGCTCTGTAATTTCCGGATAGTAAAGTTATGGACAGTAGCTAGAAAAGTCACAAAACTAACCGAATTTGAACGCAAGCATTTACTAGTTAAAGGTAAACATGTATGTCAACAAATCAGTGAATGTTTACTAGTAATTGTTAGCATTGACTAATTTGGGACCTTTACTGTACCAGACACATTGAAAGAAAGTGTGCCATTGGATTTCCAATAATGGGATCACTAGAAGGTTAGGATTCTTTGGCTTATTGATCTCAGCATTTAATATTGATAATACTGGAAGATTTTTATGGCCGAGAAGTATATTATTCAGCATAAGGACATTAAAACATAATTGATTTCTAGGATTTTTCTAACATCCTAGAAATTCGTTGAAAGAATGTGTAAAGTAATTTTAGGAATAACAACCTTTCATCTTACCATATATTGCAAAATACGATTATTTTTTATTTCAGTAAACATAATGGATTTACCTGTACAACGGGAACATCTCCCGAAGGATAACCCGGATAAGCGGGTAATTGATGAGACATGACTGTCAAACCAGTTGAAACTGGTTGCTGTTGTGTCATATTGTTATTCGTGAGAGTGGACATCGATTGACGATTCTCTTTCTCAATCACTTCTTTCGTTACATCGGGTGTTGGTATTCGTGGTCGATTTTTAACGTTCATAGCCGAAGCTCCTGCAAATTTTTGACCTAAAATGAAAACAGATTGACATAAAGATTACAGATTGAAGTAATACTATTAGTAAAAAAGATAATGTTGAACCCCTCTTGATTTCAACATATCTTTAGGTGATTACTGATCCGAGGAGTTACTTTTATATTGGCATAGTAGGATTATGTTTCAGATACTGGCCTTTGTCAATGCCCTGAGATTCTATAATGAGTTATAACTCCAGAAAGGTGAACACAATAGATGATAGGGTCCAGAAGAATAACTCCCCCCTCCCATACAATTTACAATAGCAGGATTATAGGTTAGGTACCGAAAATCTCTTGCTGTAAGACCATATAAATTCTCAGAAATTACTAGAAATCTGTTACAGGTTTTGTTTCGTAAAACGATTGAGTTTATGATAAACTCACCCATTATAAACTAGGATGTTAAGTTTATCTTGGTTAAATGTTAAAAGATAAGCGTGAGGTCGCCCAAGTAGCATTTGGACGTTATCTAACGTCGGGTATACGTCGCGTTCAATAAACCCGACGTCGGGTACCAACGTCGCCGTCGCGTCGGTTCGACCGCCTGACGACCCTTATTTGCACCTAAATGGGGAATACAGATTCGGGTCGCCTCGACGTCGGTATCTGACCTAATAGGGAATGTAATTCTACCAATTACCAACGTCATATTACATTGGATTTCAGTCACTTAAAATTCGTCGCTAAGCACTTACGTTATGTTTGGTTTCAAATTCGCTACCAAGAATACATAATGTATTCATAATCACTCCTCGAATATAACTACGAGTATAAGTGCTTACCTAATTTCATATTATAATAATTCTGAATCATTAATCCAGACATCAGTTTTGTCAACGGAAGTAACTTTTTTGATATACCTGATTAAAATACTCCGGAAAACAACGAGCGCCTTCAAAATTAGGTAGATTTTTGAAATAAAATATCTATAAAAAGTAACTCGCAAAATATATTTTTTTATTTTCTAGCTGGTTTAATCATAAAACTGTACTGTGGTTCCCCCAAACTCAACCTTATCAATATTATTCTACTAGAAATCGGAATGTGAATATAAATTTTAAAAACAAAAAACGATTTTAAAATGGCTGACAATCGGATACTTGTTAAGAATGGCGGATTTCTGTGTCCGACCTAATATGAACTACCAATATACCAATTCCGACCGGGCCTCCAACATTAGTCGTCTCACACGACCGAAGTCATCAAACCGGACGACCGGCAATCGTATTATGACGTATATAATTCCAACGTACGCCACGTAAAATTTGCGATCGGCCGGCATACGTAGGAGCATCCGTCGTTGGCCACAGAGCATTTTTCTGTAAAATGTAGATGAATCTCTAAATGCCTTTTGAGTATTTTCTAGGCATAATAAAAAAAAATAAGTTTGTTTACAAAAACTTTTTATTAGGTTATGTTTGGGTTGTATTTACGGACGTAAATTATAATATAATATGGAAATTAGGTTATAAATATGAACATAAAATAAAACAAAATATAATTGGACGTTACTTTAGAGATTATCAGTGAGACGTATCCCATTCGGACAACGGGTAGACGTCGGGCTAGTTCAAGTATATGTACGTCGTGCAAGCCAACGTGGGAACGACGCGCGACGTTGGGAAATTAATAAATATGGTACGTTGTTATTTTGTAATTCGACAGATCGTTGGATTTACCGACTCGGATCCAACGACATCGCTTTTAATAGGAAAGCGACGTCACAGGTCCTATCACCAGCACCCGATCTAAATTTGCACAAAGTCTGACGTCGCTTCAGGTCAGTTTTAGTTCGAAGTCAGATAAATGCTACTTGGGCGTATAGTAAAAATACAGCATTAGTACGATTTTATAGAAAAATCAATAAAAGTTGACGTGCATGTTATCAAAGACGTCGAAATGTTATATCTGGGCTAAAAAGACAGCACGCTGTAACATCAAATAAACGAATTAGGGTGGCTGCAACGACATCCCGTAATCCAGCGGTTAAAACATATCAGCTAGTTTTTAACAACGAACAGTCTGCTATTCATTGTTTCTTCATTAATTTACTTCTTCGTATATTTTTTTATATTTCTTGACTGACAATATATACATTCAACTTACTTGGTTTGAATTTCTGATTCCTTCCGGATCTTCTTCCAACCAAACGATCATAAATAGACATCTTTTGATGGGGTATGTGTATTTGTCCATTTTCTGGATTGGCATAGACGGAATTGCCTCTCGGCCTGGAAAATAGTCCTCCAGACGAGTAAGCGGTCGAGGCTGACCGAATCGATCCCATTCCAGTTCTGGAGATCTGTCTGCTGAACCAGTTTTGACTTTTTCTTCTTTCAACGATCGGCGTATCTACGCTTTCCTGCAATACAAAATAAAAACATTTATTTTCTTTAAGGTTTAAGTTTGAATAAGAACGTGTAAGAAATGCATAGGGTGATTTAATTTAAGGTAAATTGTCTTTATGCCGAAGCTATAAAAGGGCTTAGTTATGAGCTATAGGATGTTCCAATCTATTAATTCCAAACTATTAAAGCATATTAATTAATTAAAAATTATCCAAATTCTTAAAATCAAATTAGAAAAAACTTGAAATATCAAACTTAATTTTAATGTAACACTGTAACACACTAATAAGAGATTTGTTGTTCTTCAAATTGTTTGTTCAAATTGAAAAATTAATTAATGTAATTTCAATATATATTTTAATTTCTAAAAAAATAACCTTGTTTATTAGATAACTAAATTGGCGCAGTCGGTAGGATTTCTTAATTGTCAGGCAATCTACCTTCTTCTTATATAGTACCATAAAGCTTAGGCAACCGGTTGTATGCACTTATGCTGTGATTCATCTGTTTTTCACTCGTACATTGGATCTATATTTCATCCCCAAATCCGAATATCAATAATTGAAACGTTATACCTGAAGTGGCGACCCGATGGTCGTTCTATTTAAATTAATAAATATTTTCATTTAACTAAATAGCTTTCGAATCCGGTACTCTCAAGTCGGCAGCCAAATATACTTGCCACTGAGCCACGACCAGCAACATGTACCGTTTGACTTCTAAATAACATAAACATATAAAGCAGGCACTCATTGTCGATCTCAAAGCCGATTTTAGTGTGGCAGCCTTGCAAACAAAGAAAATTAAGTTATAAAACGAAGGGTCCTGGGAAAAAAACCCATTATAATCGCCAATTTCTTAGTTTTAGGATTTTGCAATATTATAGTAGATCTAACTGGTCCCTACAAAACGAATAAATTCTGTAGGGCAATAAGGTATTAAATCCTATGATGTATGCCTAGTATAAATATACATACAGGGGAAGAACCTAATAACCACCACCTATCCAGTAATCTCCTGTTACATTAGTAAAATGGCGCTTATCAGGTTTTCCCCTGGACCCTTCAAATAAAAGTTACCTAAGGAGAAATGTTTATAAAAATTGCGATCTTGTCAGATCATTCAGCGATGAACTGAATTTTATATAAGACGATATTCTTATCTTTTCTTGCATTATATTAGCATACCATTTATGGTAGCAATTACAAAATTAATAACACAATTTAAATTAAAAAAAAATAATACATTTTTAAAATAAATAGATTTAAATTAATTTAATATTTTATTAATTGGAGATAAAACTGCCTGAAATTCTAACATGCAAAGCTTCTGTCTACTATACCGACAAGGTTATTAAGCAATTTTTAACATCGAATAAGTATAATTTTTGTAAATATCAAGATAATTAGTTATTTTCAAATAGTATTCAACGAAATTTAATAAAAACCTGAAAATCAAATAGCTACCTAAAATAATACCAACCTCAAATGTAAAATAGATCTGAAACAATAAAAGAATTCAATAATAAAACTCGATAAATTGATTTTGGAGCTTGATGTTGAGGAAATAATTAACCAAATCAAATTTTAGATATAAACAAATGCATTTGAATGAATAATGTTTATAAAAAATATCTATACCTATGTGGCGGATTCATCTCTCCAAAAAAATTCATTATGGGTTTTTTTTGCCACATGCACTGCAAAAAAATCTACAACATAAAATAGTTATTTTTTGTAAAAACTTCTGCGTTAAACCTTAACGGACATTTTCTTGCAATACAGTGGCGAAATACCCATAATGATTTTTTTTTAGAGAAATAATGTTTATACTTATACAGAATGAAACAAGACATTTTCCCATAACAACGATTAATTGCAAGGTGATTTTATTAATTATTATCTGATGTTCAGTGACCCGAAAGATAATATTTGTTAATTAACAGACTAATCTAAAATTAAAATAAGAGTACATTGAAGAGAATCAGTCATTGGAACATCACATATATAGAATAGACATTTACATATGTGCATAAACTATGTTTTGCATAAAATTTATTGACATAAGAAAAATGTGATATGTTAAAGCTTTTAATATTGATTATCCTTGAATACGAGTATATTTTTTGTTACAGCTATGTTTAATAATATCTAAGTATATTCTTTGTTAAATACTAATATAACTTAGTTTTAATTAGTCAAATCGTTTTAGAGAAACTCGATTACAATTCACACATACAAATTTAGAGAAAAATATATAGAAAAATGAAATAAATAAAGCCAGCAATAAAGTGGGTAAAGAAGAAAACATTCAACCAATGTGTACTACCGGTCATGGCCTATGCATGCGAAATCTGGACACTTAAAATGGAATATTATAAGGAAACTGCAGGTTGCATAACGTTAAATGGAATGAAATGTGCTGGGAATAACCCAAGAGAGACGTGAAAGAATAGAGTAAATACGAAAAATGACCCAGGTAGTAGATGTCATCCACAGAGTTAAATCCCTAAAATGGCAATGGGCAGGACACCTGGCAAGAAGAACGAACAACAGATGGGCCATAAAAAATACAGCATGGTACCTACGAAGAATTAAGAGACCTAGTAGAAGACTAAACCTCAGATGGGACCATGATATTAGGAAATTAGCAGGGATAACTTGGACCCGCATAGCCAACAATAGACAACAATGATCCCAGCTACAAAGAGAGTATGAGAGAGAAGTTACGCAATAATTGGAAATGGTCGAATAAGCTGCAAATGATGATGATATAGAAAAGATATGAATTTGTCGGAATGAAAAAGGAATATTGGAAAGCTGATATTGGCAATGCCGTAATTCAAAAGCAGCAACAAAATTTTATGTATCAAGACAATCACGATTGTTAGTTCTTTTGTTATTAGCTTAGTATACTGGTACTATTATGACTTATGGATATAAAAAGTAGCGGGGCTACTATCAGGGTTTTCTAAGATCAATAGGCATCTAAAGCTGATGGGATTGACGAATGAAGCCATGTACAGATTTTGTCAATCACGAAAGAAAGGAACGTCAGAATCCATTTTTATCAGTGAGATAGCATGACCAATATGCTGTTCTTTGTATTAGGTAATGACGAGCCATTGGCACTGAGCCAATAGAGGGTTGCAAACAATAATTAAAGCAGGTTAACACGGTCTTGTTTATTTTCAGTTACAGTTATGTGGCAGCATCCAAGTACACTCCATATGCATTTTGACCGTGTCAACCAGGCTTTAGACCTTTTTAAAAGGATATTACTAGAAAATGTTAAAAGAACCACAATAAATCTCTAAAGCTAATAGACACTCCAAAACATATAATTTAACCCTAATGGACTTATAAATAATACTTACATAATCTGCATACATATCGTCCACAATACTTTTTTTAAAATGTCCTTGTGGCAAAAAGATTGGCATACAGGGCATCGGTTGTCTTAACTTTGTAAGTTTCGGCTGAACCTTTAGGTTCTTCTCGTCTATAGTGTTCTGAGGCGACTGTGTAGGGAATCTCTTTCGGTACCACATCATCCCAGTACTGATCTTTAAGCAGTTCGGGGTGTTCTTCGTGCATTTCGTCCACAATAATATAAGCAGCCTAAAAATATCCATCAAGTTAATATTAATTCGTCATATTATATAGATATCTACAACTTGAAGATCAAATTTATTTAAATAGGATTTTAGATCAATATACTTTGGCTGTCTAAAACAGTAACATGTAGAAGGTTATTTTTCGTTGTAAAAAAATTGGTTTTATGTTTGTTCTGATTTCCAAAAATTATAATCTTTATATAAGTTTGATCGAACAGAATATTTGTCTGACTTTGATAAATATATGGATAATCTCAAAATTTACACGAATGATTAGAACCGGGAAATCCCCCCCCATGATTTGTGCCATTAAAGAACCGGGATTCAGTAACAATAACTAAAAAGTATATTTCGTTACTGTCTTTTAAGATCGAAATAACCCTTCTTTAGAAAGTATGAGAGAGTGAGCGTTGTTTGTCTAAGGCATATGACCATCTTTTAACAATTCCGTCAACTAAAGTCAAATTTAAAACAGTTTTTTTTTGGCTAGTCTATACTTGCAATAAGATTAGGTGTAAGTCTCGTTTGAGTGACAATAGTCTGGACGCACAGCCATCAACCATTCACATCTGAAATTTTACTACAGAGAGGAAGAATATATTATATAGGATATATAATAACAAAACAACATATATAATAACAAAAAAAAATTAAGGAATAATATAATTTTCATAATAAAAATATTATTTATTATAAACATTTTATAGAACTAAAAATAAGAGTTATCCCAAATTAACCCATTCGTTAAACATACCATTATAATTTTATGCATTTACTTGTTAAAAGTGTAATAAACAACAATTACTTGTTATTAACAATTATTTTCAAGGAAATAACATAGGAAATTGAAAGCTGATATGTTTATAATAAAATGATGACTAAAAGTGACATATGTAATTTTCTAGAAAAAATAAAGCCCATAATACAATAATGACATTATAGTCTACAGGGTGTCCCATTTTCGTATGTTTTACAGGGTTTACCGTTTATGAATAGAGATTCAAAGATGCGGTTTTCCCATAACAACTACTGCCACTTTCTATAAAACTATACATACTGCACAGATATTTGTCCTAGCCCTCTTATTTCCGGAAATATAGGGCAAATTTTAAATTGGTGCCTTTTTTGACTCCCCTTGTATCTCTGTTAACTTATAACTTATCCAAAAGGTGAAAACCACGGGGATGTCACTTGTATGGGAAAACAGGCAACAGTCAAATTTAAACGTGCCAGGACCAACGACAAAGAAAGCAACATCTGCCAGGCATTGGCTTTCTTTGTCACTCACATTGCTTAAATCATGATACCGCGGCCATTTTGTCAACAAAGAAGCTGGCCGGGCTGTCCTGGCAAGTGATTTAAAACAATTTTGCTTTTTTACAATATTAAATTACCATTTGGATGTATTTAATGCGATTATTCAGTTAACTGGTAAGTCAGAAATTACACACAAATACTTTATTCATAAATACAACTAAGATGTAAACGTATTTTTGTATTTTTAGATTTCAACTCTTGCAAAGACCCGCCGATAGAACTTGCCTGGCAGCGTACCTGTTTAACTAAACGTATTATTTCCTGATAATAATATCAAAACACGTAAGAACCTCTATAATTTATGATGAAAAGTGATTTTGATTATGTTTTATATTATTTAAATACTTTCTAACCTCAAATAATAGTAAGATCCTTGTTTATATCGCACAACCCGTTCAAAACTGTATTGTCTTCAAAAAATGTTTACAAAACAAACAATTATTACAAAAACAATGTCCTTTTAATCTGATTTATACTTCAGAAGGATGCCAGTAAAATTTTATTAAATCAACATTATATTATTTGGCCATTAATATGCAAAAAGGAGCATATTGCCTTAACTTAAATTTTCTTTTACTTCTCCTGACAATGTTCTCTATATTCTCTATTTTGAGTTAGTAAACTTTTGAACGGGATGTGCGATATATAAAATACATAATATATCCAAGGGTATGATCTGATAAAAGTATTTTTTGATGCATTTTTTGGTTATTTTGCACGTTGGCTTGGTTTATGTTTTATTCAGCTTATATTCATTTGGTATAAGTTTTTTTTGCCTTTGGAATGGCATGCATTGAGGCTAGATAGTGTTTCATTAGATAATTAAAGGAATTTAAATTAGCATATATTTTTTGTCATATTAGTGTGTTATCATGATACAGGTAGTTGTATCATAGTGCCTTATGCATGTTATTTACCTATTATATACTTATGTAATGTATTATCAGTAAATAGATGATAACATACTACTAAAATGTCTTTTAATAGTATGTTTATCTTTCCAATTCACTAGTTATTTGCAAAATGTATTTTGAACTAATTTAAGTCATTAATTGATCATCTTTCTTTTTCAGGTTCCGGATATTCTTTTCGTTGTTAAAAAATATATATATTTCAATATTATTGTAATATAAATCGCAGCTCTAAAAATAAATAATATTGTTTACTAATGTGTAATTTATTTACTATGAATTTTCTCTGAAAATAATAAGTCTTTAATAATATCATTGATTTGCTGTGTAAAGTTAATAGACATATTTTTTAATACATTAAATTATATTAAAGTAATAAAAAATATGTTTATTAACTTTAAACAGTAAGTCAGTGATACTTATAAAAATATTTTTTAAAAAATTTCCCCTCTTTTAAGGCCCGCCCCTCCAATTCCCCTCAATTTAGCTAGTACTGCCAGGCGACACCAGGTGGCGTCTGATTCCATTTTTTAACATGAAGTTAGCATTTCTTTAATGTACCTATTCTCTGGTGAAAACTGCTCGGATCTTGCTGCAAACCCAGAGCAAGGCAGCTCCAACTAAAGTCGCCATTTATGTATATACTGTTATATTGAGAGAACTGATTGTTGCAGGAAATGATCGGCCATTTTTTTATTTTTTAGGGCAATTCATTAAAAATCTCATTTTCGAAAAAAAGTGGAGCTGCCTGGTTATTGCAGCCTTAGATTATATTGCAACCACCCCTTCAATTATATTAAAAATAAGAGAAAAAATAGAAAAAATAGGAATAAATCGCAAACTATTAAAAATAGGTATTCTCTTCTTCTTCGTCGTCTCTTCATGTCTGAAGAATCGTGACATTATGGCTATGTGCAGCTTGTGATTTTGGTCTTCCACAACCTGATGACCTGTGATATTTGCTATTTGGTCAAGCCATCTTGATGGTGATCGTCCTCTGGGTCTTCGGCCTTCTACTTTGCCTTGTACAATGAGTTTTTCAAGGTTGTCTTCACCTCTCCGAGTGATATGACCGAAGTATTGCAAGATGCGTCTACGGCAGATGGTGGATAATCGATCTGTGATGCCGAGTTCATCGAGAATTGACTGGTTCGTTATACTTTTTCACTACTCGTTTCACTACTCGAGAAACTATGATGTGCAAAAAATCTCCGAGCCAGATGTTGTAGTTCTCTAGAAACTTCTAATGCACGCTCAGCCTGGGACACCCTGTATAGCATTGAATAAAGAAAAAAAAAACACTGAAAAAAGAAGTCAAATATATTAGGTACATACTCTATTATACTCTTAAAATAGTTATAAAAAATATTCAATTAACAAAAAAATAGAGTATATACTATTTTTTTGTTAATTGAATATTTTTGTTAATTAAAAATGTATGAAACTATGTGGAATAATTGCCGTAAATTAGCCGTAAATTTGCCGTGAAAACGCAAAATTTGCCGCTCTTCGCTAAGTATGTTAAATCGATGGTTGTGCTAAGTCAATATTAAGTTAGCACAACCACCATTGGAAATCAGTGAAAGAACATAGTTAGGAGCAACCGGGCCATTTCTTCTTCACTTTTCGATATCAGGGTGGTATCGTCCGCGTACCTGAGGTTGTTTAGGATTTTACCGTTGACTAGAATTCCTCCTTCCTCGCCCTCCAAAGCACGTCTCATGATGTATTCGCCATAGGCATTAAACTATCTGAGTGACAGTATACAGCCCTGGCGTACCCCTTTTCTAGGTTTGAAAGGTTCCGACGTTTTGTTATCTAGGTTGACAATTGCAGTATTATTGTCATATAAATTGTTAATAAGAGCCACTAGATGATTCGGAACTCCCATTTCGCTCAGAACCCTCCATAGGTTTTTCCACCTCACACAATCGAAAGCCTTCTTGTAGTCTATAAAACACAAGAACATAGGCGAGCTAAATTCTCGAGATTTCTCTATGAGTTGGCGTATGTTAAATATTTGATCTCTTCCTTTCACGAATCCGGCTTGTTCAGGAGGTATTTCAGGCGTCAAGTACCTCCGAAGTCTTCGGTCAATTATCCTAAGTAAGATCTTGCTTGTATGTGACGTTAGGGATATTGTTCGATTATTCTGGCATTTTTGTGTGGATCCTTTTTTGTGAATTGGGATGAAAGCAGAATTAGTCCAATCTTTAGGCCATTGTCGAGACTGCCATACTTTATTGCAGATGTTATGTACTATTTTCACACCTTCCTCCCCTATCAACTTTATCATTTCAGCTGAGGTAGTGTCCGTGTATGGCCTCTTCCACTTCGCTCTTCAATATATTTGGTTCCAGTTCGTTTATTATGTGAGGTACTCGAACTTCTTTTACTACGTCTGCTTCGTCCTTGTATAGTTCTTCGCAATATTTTTTCCATCGTTGCAATATGTCCTCGTTATTCCACAAGACTTCTCCATTTTCGTCCTCGATAGCAGATGTCTTAGGTTTGAATTTCCGAGTGAGTTCCCTTACTTTCTTGTATAAATCTCGTGTTTGGTTTGAGTTTTGGTGTTCATTGATTTCACTGCAGATTTTCGTTACGTAATTATTTTTTATCTTGTCTGCATTGTTCCTGGATCTTCTTGCATAGTCTTCTGTAGGTTTCTTTAGAATTTTGCGTTGTTAACCCTTTCCTTTTTATTTCTTTCCGTTCCTCGATTGTGTCGAGAGTTCTTTGTGTTATCCAGTGTTAATGGGGTCGTTTTGTGTTG